AAGACAATTACTTTGTTCTTAAGTTTTGAGCTGGATTTTCATGATGGAGCAGCTGTAATATGTCGCCGCTCTATATAGGATTAAGTTATTTTTCTAACCGTTTTTTTTATGAAATATTCTCTGTATATTTTTTGACAAAATCTACTCACGAGTTTTTTTATGAAAATCCCCGATAGAATAAATATCACTGCGCGCATCGCCCCATGATTGTTAAACATCTAAACGCTCAAAGGGGTAAAGGGTGTCACGTGAAACGTTATGTCGATTGTTTCTGCCTCATACCTGGTGACCACCACTTGTCGCGCTTTCTACTGGTTAGTTAAATGCGTCCATGCAACAAAATTATTTTAACACTATTTTTATATGTCACATGAACAAATAGAGCGTACTCGGATTTACATTGATATAATCCAGAACACTGAAAGGATAAAATGTGTTTAAATATTATCGATCCGTCATCCGTCTAAGTAAAGAAAATAACGATAAAACAACGATTGTAGCCTTTAGTATCAACACAATCAATTCGGATCACAAGGTATTCTGGTATTTAACATAACAACATTACTTGAGGGTGCGACTGACTGACGTGTGGCATGACGTGAATTTCGTATCTGATGTGTACCCCGTTTTGATTCCTAAGATCTGGGGGGAAAGCAAATGGGTAACCGTACCTTGAAAATTATTTTTATACCCTATATCGCGTTTCCCTGAAAGTAATTGTATGACGTATTCAGTGCGTGCTTGAATTAAATCACTTTACAAATATTGTGATTTTTTCTATGCAATGCAGCAACTACAAATTTTAACCTAACGTGTTTCCAATAGGGTAGTGGCATAGTTACCGTGGTAGGTGTGACGTCACAAATAATACAGTAACACCCATTATTGTTAATGTAGGGCACCTTAAATGTGTCTGTTGGTAACATATATGCGTAACTTTATCCACATTGCATTACACATACTGAACAGATACAGTCAACGTCAACCGACATATGTGTCCAGTTATATAATATATTTGGGACAATATAATGTAGGAAAGGTTACACCATACATATACTTTGTGCCTCAGTAAAATGCTGTAATTATGTGGCATTGGATATGCCCAGAAGAGGGTCCACTATGCTCATTCACGTAACGTTTACAGCTAGTGTTTATCGAAATTAAAGGGAATGACATAGAACATCTTTTACGCGTGGCGGGGTATCCTAGATTTCATGATATAAATTACAGTTTTTGGAAGAATGGGCGATATTATGAGCGTTGCTTCTTGAATTGTGACGTATCATTCATGCGAGAACGGTTTTTGGCTGCGTTGGCTCCCGTACGCAGGGAGTTCTTTCTAAACATAAAAGTAGTTTTTTTTTAGCCTCCCATTTCAAAATCCTTTTTTAAAAAACAATTGTCACTACTACAGGCAAAGCTTTGAAAATTACAGCTAAACTCTAAATCTAAATTGCTTACTGCTAATTAATTCATTGAAATTACGCCACAAACCAAATATTAATAGTTTTTGGAAAACTTAGGTTAGCCATGGACCAATTTATTATTTGCTGATGTATTATAATTGTGTATTAGTGTCTTTATCATTTTATTATTTGCATACGTGCATATATTCATTACGATTTTTGATTTATTTACTTGTGTTGACTTCTTCTGGGACATCGACTAATTAGCGAGATGGGAACAGCGCCCCCAACTGCCAATTCAAAGTATCCTTTCAAAAATGGCTGACCGCTCACCTTTTTGATTTTGTGCCCAATTTTGGTTCGTTTGTGACTCATTTGGCTCATTTTTGGTCCGTTTGGCTAGTTTTTGGCTAGTTTTAAGTTATTTGGCTCGTTTTGGGTCGTTTGGCTCGTTTTGGGTCGTTCCATGTTTTGTCAATCGAAATGGCGGTCATGTATTGTTATAGTTACTCGTATCATGGAAGGTATTTATTTATTGAGCTGTCGTGTTTAATAGTTACTCGTATTTATTGAGCTGCAAACTAAATCTTGATATAGTTTTATTTCGTTTCGTTTCATTTCGTTTCGTTTCGTGGAAAAGACTAAGCCGGACTCTAGACATTGCTAGAAGTGATGCCATCAGTAGACTTGAACTTAATTATATTGGTCACACTGCTGTGGAACTTTGAAAAGACAGGAAATAACCCTGCACGCTCTTAGAAATTATTTACGTATTAGGTGCACGAGAAACTCTGAATAGAAACAATGTCCTATTGTAAACGAAATATATGTAAATCTACTCACGGAAATCTCAACATGTATCCAATGAAGCTATTGTGGACAGGATCTTTAACGATTGAAGCCTGGTTGGATGCAAAATCTATAATTCCTTGCTCGATCTCAGCGGGTGACAAATTGGGACACGACGATGTGATCATGGCAGCAGTTCCTATAACAGGATAGTTAATAAGTCAATAAAAATGGTTCAACTTAAAGGGAGGTGGTCGTCGCGCTGCGCATGTGCGACAATTGTGTTGATATACATAGATTTTTTTCACAATCCAATGCGCTCTTCTAATGGAAATCATAAGTACGAGGTTTGACCTGGGCGCGACTTCCAATCACCTAAAAAATACGTAATTAAAGCTTGGTAACGTCTCGGTTTGTGTTCGTTGAACTGTCGACGTTGCCATTTTGGTTTATATGAGACCTACATATTTCGCGTACGCGTTGTGCGAACACTACCGCCCTTTAACTCCCTGACGCATGTCCCTTACGTGATATGCGCTTACACTCACCTGCTACTAAAGCAGCAGCAAATTGTGAACTTGGTGCGACTTGTACGTATTTGCTATGGTTGTTTGGCTCTGTACTACCTTCATAGTAAGATGTATAGACATCTGAACCGGGTGCGTATATCTCATTACAAGTGCCAGGTACGGAGTTCAGGTGTCCCAAGTTGGTAAACATGGCGTTTCCCACTGTGATTACCTTCATTAAACAAGAAGAATAATTTATTTGATATTAAATGATATTTAATAATAATATTATTGCGTCACTAACATTTCGTTTCCCATGTTGTGTTGTGATTTGGTATGGAATGACCACATTTTTAAAAATACACTCTTAATATATCCCACTCTCTGTTGAATCAAACTCTTAACAGAAAGTTCACAGACAAGAACAAAGTTATTCTGACATTGTCAATGAATTTTGTGTTTTATATTCGACGAGGGTTCAAGATGCTTCTCTCCGCTTAGTTTTCATTCAATTCCAATATATGAAAGTGGCCCATTTACACTATTTGTGAACCACTACTAAGAAAAATGATAAACTTGTCATACTCTTGTAAGGACATGACATTTAAACATAGAACATTTAGTGTTCATGATCGCAATAAATATAACATACATGAGGTTGGTCAGCTTTGTTTAAAAAAAAAAACCTCATTTACAGGTGTTGATTAAATTTTGTGACTTGGCAACGTGATGTCGTGAAAATGGTTACAATTAGTGTTAAAAATCAAACCTAGGACTAGTTGTCATAGGAATGCGAAGCCGTGTTTTTAAGATATTCAGATTAAATCACGTTTTTTGTTCCCGTGTGCAGAGCACAAAGGAAGACAATATCACACTAATATCTTTTTTTATGGATTGATATGTCAAATTTTGTTCAAATATTATCTCAAGAACGACTAGATCTTATCAGATCAGGTACATACAACAGTTGTTGTACTTTCAAAATGTTTCGTTGTATTCTTAACGATTTGCGCAAATGGGTTAAAATCTGATTCATGTAAACATTTATTTATTTATTTAATTTGTTTAGAAAACTGCTCATTTTAATTAGCTAAATTGCATTTTAATTAACTATTTTCTATATGTTTATTGAAAAGACTGCATTTAGTGACCCAAACGGCATCTTTGAATAAACTACCACCCCCATTTAGACTTAAATTCAGAGCTACTTGTCAAAGAGCGACAGACACAACCTTTAGAAATATAACATAATCATTTGCAAAGAATACTATGATGATGTGTATTCCCGAAAAACATGCGCAAGTGTTTTGAGAGAAGCTAATCTTAAAGGGCGGCAGTCATCGTGCCGCGTCCTGTCCGATATGGGACTCATATCGACGTATAAACGCGTGTAAAATACATTGTTTATTTACACGAACACGCGCTGCGCGACGACCACCGCGCTTTAAGATTAAACATACGAAGTACCAATTATTCATATAGTTTCTCAGAGAAGTTTCAAAGCAGATCCAACAAAGGCAGAGGCACCAACGAATGATTTGGGGGAACTGTGAGATACTAGTATTGCGCAATGGTTATTTGATTACCATTGATGTACGTTTTATACCACGATTTGGAACACAGATTGTTCGGTGTTTACACATAAAGATTAGGTATGAGATATTACTACGTGAACGAGAGTTCAAGTTTTACGTTGAATGGTTCTAATGACGAAATATCGATATTGACTAAACTATCGTCCAACAATAGGGTTACTGTAACTGATTACCTGATGAGGTAGAAACAGAAACACTGCAAAAAACAAGTCGAAAGCAAATCAACTAAACTTGGACGGTCAGAAAAAGTTAGGAAAGCACAACAGAAGTATGATTGGTCTTGCAAAGCAATTAAATAAAAAATATCTAAAATAAGACGACTTCACAAGATAAATGAAAATTGAAAAGTGGTTGTCAGTAATGTGTTAATAACAGTGATACGAGATGTTTTTAGGAAGAAAAAAAGGGACAGTAGGTGTGGTCATAGGACCATTACTTCGGGAAAACACGAGATGTAACCATCCCCAGAGACGTTGAAACATGCAGTCGTGTCTTGCGTATTCTTAATGAATGTAACTTAAGTAACTGCAATGACTGTAACTTACGTATCTTTAATGAATGTAACTTAAGTAACTGCAATGACTGTAACTTACGTATCTGTAATGACCATAATTTAAGTAACTGCAATGACTGTAACTTACGTATCTGTAATGACCATAATTTAAGTAACTGCAATGACTGTAACTTACGTATTTTTAATGAATGTAACATTAGTACCTACAATGACTGTAACTTACGTACCTTCAATGACTGTAACTTACGTATCTTTAATGAATGTAACTCAAGTAACTGCAATGACTGTAACTTACGTATCTTTAATGAATATAACTCAAGTACCTTCAATGACTGTAACTTACGTATCTTTAATAAATGTAACTTAAGTACCTGCAATGACTGTAACTTACGTGTCTGCAATGGCCGTAGTTTAAGTAACTGCAATGACTGTAACTTACGTATCTTTAATGAATGTAACTTACGTATCTGTAATGACCATAATTTGGGTAACTGCAATGACTGTAACTTACGTATTTTTAATGAATGTAACATTAGTACCTACAATGACTGTAACTTACGTATCTGCAATGACTGTAACTTACGTATCTTTAATGAATGTAACTCAAGTAACTGCAATGACTGTAACTTACGTATCTTTAATGAATATAACTCAAGTACCTTCAATGACTGTAACTTACGTATATTTAATGAATGTAACTTAAGTACCTGCAATGACTGTAACTTACGTATCTTTAATGAATGTAACTTAAGTACCAGCAATGACTGTAACTCGCGTATCTGTAATGACCATAATTTAAGTACCTGCAATGAATGTAACTTACGTATATGTAATGACCATAATTTGAGTAACTGCAATGACTGTAGCTTACGTATCTGCAATGACGTAATTTAAGTAACTGCAATGACTGTAACTTACGTATCTTTAATGAATGTAACTTACGTATCTGTAATGACCATAATTTGGGTAACTGCAATGACTGTAACTTACGTATATGTAATGACCATAATTTGAGTAACTGCAATGACTGTAGCTTACGTATCTGCAATGACGTAATTCAAGTAACTGCAATGACTGTAACTTACGTATCTTTAATGAATGTAACTTACGTATCTGTAATGACCATAATTTGGGTAACTGCAATGACTGTAACTTACGTATCTTTAATGAATGTAACTTAAGTATCTCCAATGACTGTAACTTACGTATCTGTAATGACCGTAATTTAAGTAACTGCAATGACTGTAACGTACGTATCTTTAATGAATGTAACTTAAGTCCTTGCAATGACTGTAACTTACGTATCTGTAATGATCATAATTTGAGTAACTGCAATGACTGTAACTTACGTATCTTTAATGAATGTAACTTAAGTACCTGCAATGACTGTAACTTACGTATATTTAATGAATGTAACTTAAGTACCTCCAATGACTGTAACTTACGTATCTACAATGACCGTAATTTAAGTAACTGCAATGACTGTAACTTACGTATATTTAATAAATGTAACTTAAGTACCTGCAATGATTGTAACTTATGTATCTTTAATGAATATAACTTAAGTACCTCCAATGACTGTAACTTACGTATCTGCAGTGACCGTAATTTAAGTAACTGCAATGACTGTAACTTACGTATCTTTAATGAATGTAACTTAAGTACCTGCAATGACTGTAACTTACGTAACTGTAATGACCATATTTTAAGTACCTGCAATGACTGTAACTTACGTATCTGTAATGACCATAATTTGAGTAACTGCAATGACTGTAACTTACGTATCTTTAATGAATGTAACTTAAGTACCTCCAATGACTGTAACTTACGTATCTGTAATGACCATAATTTAAGTAACTGCAATGACTGTAACTTACGTATCTTTAATGAATGTAACTTAAGTACCTGCAATGACTGTAACTTACGTATCTCTAATGAATGTAGCTTAAGTACCTCCAATGACTGTAACTTCCGTATCTGCGATGACCGTAATTTGAGTAACTGCAATGACTGTAACTTACGTATCTTTAATGAATGTAACTTAAGTACCTCCAATGACTGTAACTTACGTATCTGTAATGACCATAATTTAAGTAACTGCAATGACTGTAACTTACGTATCTTTAATGAATGTAACTTAAGTACCTGCAATGACTGTAACTTACGTATCTCTAATGAATGTAGCTTAAGTACCTCCAATGACTGTAACTTCCGTATCTGCGATGACCGTAATTTAAGTAACTGCAATGACTGTAACTTACGTATCTTTAATGAATGTAACTTAAGTACCTGCAATGACTTTAACTTACGTATCTGTAATGACCGTAATTTAAGTAACTGCAATGACTGTAACTTACGTATCTTTAATGAATGTAACTTAAGTACCTGCAATGACTGTAACTTACGTATCTCTAATGAATGTAGCTTAAGTACCTCCAATGACTGTAACTTACGTATCTGCGATGACCGTAATTTAAGTAACTGCAATGACTGTAACTTACTTATCTTTAATGAATGTAACTTAAGTACCTGCAATGACTTTAACTTACGTATCTGTAATGACCGTAATTTAAGTAACTGCAATGACTGTAACTTACGTATCTTCAATGAATGTAACTTAAGTACCTGCAATGTATAATTGTATAGAACTAAGTACTTACCCCGTCGACAGCATGCATGTTGCCAGGGAAATAATTGATGCAGTTTTTAGAAAGAGCATCGTAACTGTCGCCGGCTGGAGCAATAACAGTGAGGGATTCGTTAACCATTGCTAAGACGAGCGATTCAAGGGTGGTAGTATCGGCAAGGGAGGTGTCAATGTATGGAGTCAGTAATACAACAGCTCTACGGTAATCAGTTGGATTTGAAATTTTACGGTTTCTGTAATCAGTGAGAACCGCATTAACTCCTGTGTAAGTGAAATAAATAGTTAATCACACACATGCGCTGTTCACTTTTATTAGAGGTTTGGAACTATCACGTGATGAATTTGATGATCAGTATTTGCGCAAATTTCGTACAATTTTACCTTAAATGATAAATGATTCCCAATATGTTCAAAAAATGGTGATCGGTTTCGGATTTGATTTTTTGTTTGTTTGTTCTAATTTCATATTTATTTCACCCAATAGTCTAAATATTTTGAGAAAACTCTAGAAATAATATTAGAGTAAATATTAAAACAAAATGTAGTTGCTAACATTCAGAGAATTTTGGAAAATACACACAGACACTGAGTTATAAAAAAAGGAGGGAAAACGCACCATCTTCATATCTCATGATGTCAATATTTTTGTAGTCTGGGTCATCAGCTACTCTCACAGAAACAACAGTAATGTTTCTCCCAACACCAGTGTAGAAACCAGCGGCTGCCCCTGCTATTGCAGCACCCATGCCATCAGTATCCCAACCCTGAAAATATTATAAGAGCATATTATTATCTGGTGAATTAAAACATATTTCACATTCGTAGACGTTGTCATATTCGCTTTAAAACTTGAATAGTAGAAGGAATTGTTTTAGCCAGTTCCGTTTATTATTCACTGCC